GGTTGTTGTACATTTGCCGTCGAGTCTGTACTCTGAAGTTAGTGTAATTCAAATTGGTGAGGGTTTATTTAATCTAATGCTGCCGCAAAGATTTTGGAATAGAGTAATGGGTGCGTTTGGCAGAAAATGGCGCTAGCAAGCGCTTGTAAGCAAAATAGCGAAACTAAACAGTTTTCGGCCAGGACACGTTTACTAACTTCAGTAGCGCTGACACAATCCGCCATTTTGCTTATTTAATTTGTTTGTTTTGAAATAGAGTTTAAAAGTTGTTTTGTGCAATATTAGTTTTAAGTAATATAATGACATGAATAAACATATACATGTTGTGAAAAATTCATGTTTGGTAAGTTTTTAAAATGAATACTTTACAAACACATATTTAAATTAGGTTAGGTTCCCCGGTTAAAACTAACTTCGTGTCCTAGAGGAAAATAGCTACTTATGATTTGACAGCGCTTTCCGCTTACGATAGCCATTTTTTCAGCAAAACGCAGCCAACATTTCGCCAAGATTAAAAGGGGACGGCGCGTACGCAGTCCCCACTACCAAAAATTACGCGTCCGAGTTATCCACATTAGGGATAATCGCAGGGGTCAACCTAACCGCAGTGCAATGGAAAGGCCTCGCCCTGGGGGAACCGCCTTCCTGATCACGGTATCCCCTACGCCAGGTAAGTATGAATTCCACGTTTCGCGTCGCTGATGTCATTCAGTTTGAATAAATCTTAACACCGCAATTTACAATCCATGAAAAATTGTAAAGCGACCTCTGCAGGTTAACTACGATACTATTACAATTGCGTTAATATATAAAAGTACCCGTAAACTAACAGAGATGGCGCTTTTAGCAGTTAGATTTGTTTTAATACTTATAAAAAATGGATAAGTAAGTGTTATATATCTTAAGTATTTAGGTATTTTATTTTATAATATTTTTTACATTTTTACTGTCAAAAAATATATTTTTTAAAGAAACTTATGAAAGATTCGGATTATTGTTTTAACTTCTGTTTGCGGTAATTAAAAGCAATGTACAAAGTTTATGTGATAATATAATTGACGTTCACAATGAGGGCATCCACGACTTTTTCTGCCACCACTTAAAAAGAGGTGTAATATTTGACAGATTTCAAAGAGGGGAAGTTAATTTATTCAAAAAATGTAAAGGTTAATGTTTCTTACTGTACTATTAGTTATATTTTATACTAATTAGATTAAAAATAAGTGAACTAGACCACAGATTATTATAAAAGTAGAAAGTAAAAGTTAAAAGTGTGCAAAAATAAAAGAGGTAAACTCCTGGGGCATTGTTTTGTGTATTAATAATATACTCTAGAAACTGAAAAACTCTTATTTAAAACTAACTTCCCAATTAAATGACATTTTATAACAAAAAACTTTACCTCAGTATTAACCAGCGACATCTGGTGAGCGGAAGATTATAAGCCCTCATTAGTACCATCAAAATAAATTTCTTTTTAATTAATTACCTATAGGGAACTTTAAACCGAATTTAAAGATATTAAAAAAAACATGATTAAATATCATCCACTCCTTAAGGAACGTTAAAAAGTTTACATATAAGGAAAGTATCTTTAATACATTGTAATATATTATATGTTTTTCTTAGCCTAACGTCCGTTTAATGAGGGCTAATAATATTACGGTCAAAAGATGTCGCTAGTTGACACTTAAGTAAAGTTTTTTGTTACACAATATCTTTTCATTGATAATTTAGTTTTAAATAAGAATTAATCATTTTCTAGAGTATTATATTAATACACAAAACAATGCCTCAGTGGTTTGTTCTTTAATTTTGTAAGTGTTTACAATTTTTTTAAATTTTTCTACATTTATGAATATCTGTGGTGTAGTTTATTTATTATTAATGTAAGTAGGTAGTATAAAATATAATTAATGGTACAGAAAGAAACTAAAATATACATTTTTCGAATAAATGTACTTCCCCACTATGAAATCTATCAAATATTGCACCTTATTCTTATACACCCTGGTGGCAGAAAAAGTCGTGGATGCCGTTATTACTTATCGTATAATTTTGTTTTCTTTTAGGTAGGTACTGATAAATCACAGTTGCTTTGTGTTTTACAGATCCTCCTAAAGTTTGAAAACAACTTTGTATGGCAACCATCGCAATATGCAAAATATTCATCATAAATTCTGAAATACCTATCATGCGGTCTATGCATATGAAAAACTGATTTCAATTTGTTATAATGGTGCAGGAAGATAATATTATTGTCTAAAAGAAACAGACTTTTCTCATTATTTTGCTTTTGTTATAGTTCTAAACTATAGGTCAATAAGGATATGAGGGCGGCACTGAAAATTTCGGGAATCAAGGAAGTGACACAACATTACTATTTAAAAATGTATTAATTGCTTTTCGAAGTATTCTCCGCGAAATTTGACACATTTTTCCATACGGAACCATCATTGAAGCAACCATTCCATTCGGAAGTTGGGGTCTCAAAAATGGCCGTTTTGTAGGCGTCCACAGCTTCTTCAGGCGATGAAAATCTCTGTCCACGCAATTTATTCTTTATTTTATGGAAAGTATAGAAATCATTAGGGCTTAGGTCGGGGCTGTACGGCGGATGGTCTAATAATTCTATGTTTTCTTGCTCTAAAAACTCTTTTGTTCTGTGTGCGGTGTGAGAACTCGCATTGTCGTGAGGGAGGATGATGCGGCGGTTGCAGTTCTCTTTACGGAGTTCAGAAACGACCTGTGGCAAACATATGCTAGCATACCATTCTGCGTTAACCGTTCTTTGTCCCTCAAGAGGAATAGTCGTAACATGGCCGGTTTGGAGACAAAAGTGGCCACCATTTTTTTTTTGCAACATTCCGTGAACGAACAATTTTTGTTGGCTTTAACTCATTTTCGAACACCCAAACTCGTGACTGGTTTTTTGTTTCGGGTTCGTACGCGTATATCCAGGATTCGTCACCTGATATAACGTTGTATACAACATTTGAGGATCCTGCGTGGAATCTTTCGAGAGTTCTGACACATCAAGTAACGCGAGCCGCTTTTTGCTCTTCACAGAGCGAATGCGGTATCCATCGAGAAAACAACTCTTTTACACCTAATTGTTCATGCAAGATTATTTGTATTTGACTCATGCCAATGTCTAAAGTTGCCTGAATTTCGTGGTATGTCACATGTCGATCTTACTCAATCAGCTTACGCATAGCATCAATGTTTTCTTGGGTGACTGCAGTTTTTGGACGACCTTGACGGGGATCATCACTGAGCTTGACACGTCCACGTTGAAATTCAGCAAACCAGCGATAAATTGTGGCTTTGGATGGGGCTTCATCACCAAATTAAGAAATCATCCGTTCAACACACTGTTTTTGTGTTAAACCACTTTGAAAGTCATAATAAATCATCGCTCTTGAATTTTCTCGAGTTAATTCCATTTTCTCAACGACTAAACAAGTTTGACAAAACCTTGTAACAAGGCCGAGAATCTTTTTTTAAATAAATTAATGGTATTCGATTTTTAAAACCAAGGAGTTTTCAATTAAAAAGATTTTAATATGACAGGAACAGTGGAAATATTCCATTCCCGATACTTTTAGTGCAGCCTAGTAGTTAAATTATATATCGTTATCTGAAGGGGGGATATTTTTGGTTTTAATTGGCTTAAATTCTTAGATTTTTAGAACATGGGACATAAAAGTTATAACCAGTTTTAATTTTTAAGATTATCTACATAGACCATAGACTAAACACACATAGATAAACTAATATATAATTTTATGTACTAGTGTTCCAATTTTTTATTTAACTGGCTTTACAGCTTTGGGTTCTAGGCCTCCTGAGCCATCATCATTTCTTTCGTTCTCTTCGTTTTTATATATTTTTTTCATCACAATATGCAGATCCACTTGTTTCGTCGTTTTATCCAATAGTTCACAGGCGCAGACAATTCACAAAATCGCATCACTTTTACGAATCAAAATCTACTTCAAACGATTATTTAAGCAACAAAACAGGAGCGACAATCCGTCGACGGCCAAAACCTCTCCTAGTGTACCTATGTATATTGTTTTTGTGATAAAGTAAATATTCTATATTGCTTTTCGCTACTCTGTAGTACTTTACTAACCGTTATTTTTTTTATAGAATAAGGGTGACAAACGAACAGACAGTCCACCTATGGTTAGTGGATGTAGGCCTATAGACATTTACATTTATCCTCGATTAGGGTTGCCACCTTTTTTTTTGCAATTAAAGTACATTGGTTATTAAAGGTAAGAAAAAAAAAGTACATAGATTCAAAATAAAGTACAATTTATTTTTCTTTATTATTATATTTAAAAACATATTTTTTATTGCTTTTTGCAGTTTGTATCAAATTACTATCTTCACTAAAAAATTGCACAGCATTTTTACAATCTAAATTTAAATTAAAGTAAATAAGTAATTCGTTTTTTATCAAATTTAGAGACGCTTTGTTTCTTTCGTCTCGCCATTTGCTGTTCATCACAGAAAAAACTCTTTCTGTGAATGCTGACGTGGCGGGAATAGACAATAAAAATGAAATTACTTTATACAAGTTTAAAAAATTATCATCACTCTTAAATACTTGCTGCCATTTTTGTGCAGTAGATAGTTCTGCAAAACTCTTAGAAGTACTTATCTGATTATAAACTTGGTTTAGTAAAGCAATTTCTCCATATAGATCATCCATATCTACATTAAGTTTTTGAAGATTTAAATTTTCAATTATGTTAACAATATTATTAAATTCAATTTTGCTCTTTAAATTTATATATCCAAGTGTAAATAACCAGTTTGGGTTATTGAAATCAAACCATTTATTCAGATACTCTAAGGCTTTGTCAACAAATAATAAAAAAATCGTGTGAATTTTTCTAGTCAGTTCCGGTGAAGTCAGTTTAATTTTTTTGCCTGTTTCATAGCCAAAGAAAAGATCTTGTTTTCTTTGTGTTAATCCGTTTCTAAGATTATCCATAATCCCATAAATGTTCTAAAATTGTTATGCTGTTGCCTTCTAGACATTTAACAGCTTTATTAAATAAATTTAATAAGTGACTACAAAAATGCAAATAAATTTCAATCACATCATTCTCAGTTTCATTGAGCATCAATAAATTTTGTAAAACCATTGGACAGTAGTCTAAACTTAAAAAGTAGCTTCTTATAGGTGACCAATTTAATAATAAAGTATCAATACATGGCAAAAGAGAGAGCCATCTTGTTCCCACATGGCATTTGATTTCGTGAAAGTCTCCATCTACTGATGCTACAAATTTTTTTAGCTCCTCTCTTCTTACAGCAGAATGTGAAAAATGAGCATAAATTTTTAAAATAACATTTTCTATGTCATGTGATAAAAAGCTCATGGCATGTCTGACGCAATTATGCACTATATGTGCGTGACAATTTCCTTTAATCAAACCTGGTACCAAATTATTCATATTGGTGAATAAAGAATGATTAACACCAAAATTTGCATTTGTATTATCTGCACTTAACCCAGATACATTATGAAAAGATAATTTGTACTGCTCTAATGACTTTTGAATTGCTTCAAACATACCATCAGCAGATTCATTACTATTTTCATAAAAATCTATTAATTTGTTTTCAATGCCATTTTTGGCTGTAAAATATTGTATCACTAATGGAAAGAGTTTTATATTTTTCTTGTTAGAAGCATCTGTTTGTAAACAGTAAAACAAATTATCTGTATTAACAGCATCTATTATATTTTGTAAAGAATATGGGCCCAACACTTCTGTAACTAGTGCTTCCATTTTTGTTCTAGCTAGATGAATTGCATTAGCTGTAGGTGAATTGGCATAAATAATTTTATTCAATTTTATAGTACAATCCATGCTATTGTAAGACAAATTATGTTTTACTGTGTGATATGTCAGGGCTAACTCAGATGCAACAACATTTTCTTTATCACTGCATCTAGACGATGTGGAAGCAGAAGAAGAGTCAAGGAATTTCTCAAGTAGTCCAGATGTTCTCCTAGTTTCATATTTTGATTTGTGTTGTTTTGTTTGCAGGTGTTGTTTAACCTGAAAATAATAAGATTAATCCCGTCACCTTACCCATCACCTCCAGTCACCATAAAATAATTATACTTTCAAAGTTATTGGGAAAAAGTGCACATTTATCTTAAATAAAATCTAATCATTTTATAGCATAGTACCTATAGTTTGCATATTTAATGCAACCATACCACAACACACACACACACACACACACTGAAAAATAAGTTTTTTTTCTTACTTGTCCTATACCTGCTGAAGCAATTGTAAATGTAATTCCACACAATTTGCATTTTCCATTATATTCGTTTTGTGGATCATTAATTAACCAATCACCATGTTCGATTTCCCACTGACTTTTATACTTCTGCATTCGTTTATTTTTCTGTTTTGTCGTATCTTTTGTTTTTAAACATTTTTTTGGTGTAACATATTCACTATCTATTTGATCCGTTTCACTATTTTAAAATTACGTTTTATAGGTGTATGTGGAGTATTCATGATGTACTACTATAACATGAATCTGTAAAACTTTAAATCGTATTCTTAATGCACTAAACCGCTTCGCACAAAACGATGCACAAAAAAAACATTATGACAATGACACTGACATTGTTGACATTTGAGGTTAGGTTGCGTTCAGAAATTGTTAAAAACGAGTGGTTAAGTGATGTGGCGCTGTCGAGTGGCGAAATCCATTCAACACCAATCGAAAAATTTCGTTTAACGAAAAAGCACTTTCTCTTCATACGAAATAAAGTATTTTCGTGTACTTTATTGTTCTCATAAAGTATAGAGTACAATTACCTGAAATAACGTACAATACTTTATTATAAAGTACGGGTGGCAACCCTATCCTCGATTTAGAATCAAAATTCAGATGCGTTGTCACCTCTGTCGACTTGGATCGTTTCCAGTAAAAAAGGGTCTCCGGATATCTACACTCACCATACGAAATACAGCGGTATTAAGCTGCTATTTTACACTGGTATTCTGTGAGAGCGTGGTTCTTCCCCGGTCGAGCAGACTCATTCGCGCTTCAACTATATTATAGCTACAGCGTGGTTCTACCATTAAGTAGGTAGATTGTGATGAGGATCGATATCTACTCAGCGTTGTGAATTAGGAGATACCTATATTCAGCAGCGGACTGCAAAAATTTGATAATGATGAAGTTCTGATGGGGTTTTGAGTGTAGGTAAATAAAAAATATTTTGTTTTTTTAAGTTCATTTATTTTATTGTACTTATAATTAATGAATTCTTTATAAAACTTCATCTAAGAAGGGGACAGGCCGGGTAATACGGGGATTTTAGATTTTAGAGCTATTGAGCAGTTTAGCAGCACACTTCAAACCATCGACAACTGCTAAGTTCATTTTATCCCAGTACCTACTCCAGCGCTGTTGTGGAGAGTTTTTGACCTGTTATTTACTGCTTACAGAGTACAGACTACTACTACTTCTTACACTTTTTTTTAACTATTCTACTATGGGAGTTGGTACTCCTTACTCTACACTCCATATTCCTAACTACGTCGAAAATGTATACCTATTCTGATAGGGTTGTCACGTGATGCATGTGAAAATTTTAAGGAAAATATAGAAATATTATATAGTATAGAACAATATGAGTATTATTTATAACTTATATTAATGTAACAACATGCATATTAATTGTTCGAAGTCAAGCTGTTTCGTATTGATTAATTTTAAACAAAAAGGAAAAAATTAAAATATTATATAGTGTATAAAACAACATGCGTATTAATTATAACCTATATTACATAATAATGTAACAACATAATACTTATTCGAAATCAAGAGCTGTTTCAGTATCAACTAGCGACATCTAGTGACCGCAAGATTATTAGCCCTCATTGAAACGAACGAACGTTACGCTAAGAAAAAACATATACTTATATTACAATGTATTAAAGATACTTTCCTTATATGTAAAATTTTTAACGTTCCTTAACGAGTGGATGATATTCAATCATGTTTTTTTAATATCTTTAAATTCGGTTTAAAGTTCCCTATAGGTACCTACCACTTCTAATTTTAACAATTAAATATATTTAAAACGAGTTACTAGCAATATTAATTGCAAGAATCGCATCAATATTACAAGATTTGAAATTAAATAAAAAGAGATTTATTTTGATGGTACTAATGAGGGCTTATAATCTTCCGCTCACCAGATGTCGCTGGTTAATACTGAGGTAAAGTTTTTTGTTAGAAAATGTCATTCAATTGGGAAGTTAGTTTTAAATAAAAGATTTTCAGTTTCTAGAGTATATTATTAATACACAAAACAATGCCCCAGGAGGTTACCTCTTTAATTTTTGCACACTTTTAACTTCTAAATTTTTCTACTTTTATAATAATCTGTAGTCTAGTTTACTTATTTTTAATCTAATTAGTATAAAATATAACTAATAGTACAGTAAGAAACTAAACCTTTACATTTTTTGAACAAATTAACTTCCCTGTTTGAAATCTGTCAAATATTACACCTCTTTTTAAGTGGTGGCAGAAAAAGTCGTGGATGCCCTCATTGTGAACGTCAATTATATTATCACATAAACTTTGTAAGTTTATGTGATAATATAATTGACGTTGTTTGTTTTGCTTTTAATTACCGCAAACAGAAGTTAAAACAATAATCCGAATCTTTCACACGTTGCTTTAAAAAATGGGGGAGTAAGTATATATTTTTTGACAGTAAAAATGTAAAAAATATTATAAAATAAAATACCTAAATACTTAAGATATAACACTTACTTCTCCATTTTTTATAAGTACTAAAACAAATCTAACTGATATAGGCGCCATCTCTATTAGTTTACGAGTACTTGTATATATTAACGCAATTGTAATAGTATCGTAGTTAACCTGCAGAGGTCGCTTTACAATTTTTCATGGATTGTAAATTGCGGTGTTAAGATTTATTCAAACTGAATGACATCAGCGACGCGAAACGTGGAATCACGGTCTATAGCTTCGAACAACGAAGATTGAGTATTATCCGATTTTTTTAAATATACTGGTTAACTCTTGGTACACGCATTATCGTAAGTACTGTTCTAATTAGTCGTATTATACTTTTGATGATATGTCGATATATGACTATAGATGGCATTGTTTTAAATCCAAGCGCTTTGAAAAAAAAAATTATCTGTGAACTTGTGACACAAAAGCAATTATCACGTTCTAATTCACGCTAAATCTCAAGAGATGGAATTAGGCCTTACTTCTAGAATTCAATGAAAAAAAAAAACATCTTAAGTAATTATTTCACTTTGCAACATCAAAAAAGCTGTTTGAAATTAAAAGTTTATAATTATACGACCTACTTTATTTTTTAATTAAAATTTAAAATACCATTACATTTGAAAACATTGTTTACCTGTAACTAAACGTATGGCCATCCATATTCGCCATCTTAATTTTTTGTTTTCGACATTTTCTTCTGTTTTATCTTTTTAGTGCGAATGTACGTATATTTTCAACATCGTGAATCTATATTATTACTTTACTCTGCTCAAAACCCTGACCTGGAACGCTTACTTACGGACTCCGAGAACGATAACTTTGATTGTAGACTTCTGCGCGATTTTTAGACCTCCGTTTTTTTGCTTTCTGATTTGGTATTTGTCGAGTATGTCTGTGCACAAGTGTTGTGTACCTAATTGCGGAACTACTCGTAAGTTTCACACTATTTTTACTTTTATATGTATGCAAAATTAAAACACAGTTTTTTTTCATTTGTGCATTATTTCCACAACTTGCCGTTTTATGACAATAGGCACGATTCCTGAGAAATAAATGTATGTTTTAAATCCAAACTAAACTAAAGTCCGCCGTGATTAAAACTGCTAGACAGCAGTTGGGTCGTATCTACGATCAAATAACTAATTTGGTTGTCTTTGCAATCTGAAACGAATGATGAAATATGTCTTCTTGACAAATAGTGTTCTTTAAAGCTTAGGTGTTAATTTAGTTTATCGATATTATACTTACAATACAACATTATTATTTACAGGCACAGCCAATACAACACCCCACCTGTTCCCCAATCCCGATAAGGATATAGACAGGTTTCGCACTTGGGTGTATGCAGTTGGTGGTGAAATCCTCGCTCTTGAAAATAGTAAAATTTTTAAGCTACGCAGAGTTTGTCATGCACATTTTGAACCAAGATACTACACAATAAGTAATCGACTTGCTGCAAATGCAGTTCCAACAATTAATTTGTCAGGTACATTATTTGTTTATTACATTAAAATAGACTTCTTAGTAATATTATAAATGTGAAAGTATAGATTGGATGTTTGTTCTGTTTTCACGCCTAATCCATTTTAAATAAAAGCGGATGGGGGGCTGCTCCCCCTCCGTGCCTATGGCTTTAAAAAACCACTCTGGGGGTAGGGCAGACAAGACTATGTGGAGTTGGACTGTGCTAATTTAGTTTTAGAATGGATTCGACCAATCTTATCTATAAAGTCTGGTTGCCTTAAACTCTGCTATGATAGTAGGTAAATGAAATAATGTAATGTGAATTGTTATAATTTTGTTTTCTGTAAAACCTCTTGACTGCTCCACTGCGACTCAATTTGTATGTATATAAGTCCCGTCTCAACCATAAATGTGGATTGTCTAGGTCCGAGTCATTAACTTTTTTGTGAGTGTGTCTGTGTTAAAAAACAAATTGACATATTTGCATTTGGTTATTACACAATTTTTAGGGAAATTTGTTTTTACCGTAATTAATTCAAAACACATTTCCGACATCTAAAATAAAAAGCCTCCTAGACTAAAAACATTATCAAAATCAAGTACCAGATGTCTATAGCATATATATATATATATACAGTAGGGCCTCGGTAAACCAGACACCCGCTAGTTTGGTGATCGCTGTAATCCGGCCGGGCAATGGGCTTCGGGTTCGCGTAGTGTATATTTTCTTTGCTTTGGGAGAGGCGGGGGGTGTAGGTGCGGGCTGCCATGAGTCAATCAGTCTTCTTCTGTTTATCAGGCGTTGTCACTCGTCAGTGTTTTGTTTATTGCCTTTCGTGTAGTAAATACAGTGTTAATTTAGTGCATTCAATTCGCTAACATCATGGCGCCGCCACGTAAACATTCAACATTAACAATAAGAGACGGATTGCGGATTATAGAAATGTTAGGTAAAGGTGACAGCTACCCTATCATTGCACGGAAGTTTGGTATAGGCAGGTCAACTGTAGGCGACTAAAGAAAAACAAAGACGAAATCTTGAAGTTTGTTAGCCTAACAGAATGTGGGCCCGGTGAATTCAATAAGAATTAATTAATGTTTTATTTTAACTTACTGTTTTCCTTACAAGGTTGTTT